TAAAAATAATGTATAGTTCAGTGTCATTAAGCCTTAATACCAGCTGCATTATACAGTATGTTTTAAATACACATTTATAAATAACCTTTAACTATTTTAGGAATTCCCCCAAATTTCCTTTTATTTCCGCTAAGATATTTCCCAGCTGCCAGTTCCATCATTTATTTTGTTTCCTGGTAGATTCAAATCAACTTTTAAGGTAGTATTAAATTCTGAATTCCAGTTATTCTTCTTGTATAATTATATTATTCTTCTTGTATTATTATATAATTGTATAATTATTTTTCGATAATGAATCCAGATAAAACATATATACATTGGCTAGCAAAATATTTCTTTAAATTTTTGCCAAAACGCAGTGATCATGCTTTTGAACGGCTCCAACTCTCTTAGCTTGGTTTCCCTGAACCTTCTGTCCAGTACACGATCACAAGGGACAGAGCAGACTCCAGCAGTGCTCCATCTACTAGCTTGGAGGAGGGAGGGGAGCAAATGAACAACAACTTGCCTTGCTTTGCCTGTGTATTTGTGAAGACACACATAGCTTACTAGCACATACAAGGGTGGCACATGCATAGGATCCTGCCAGGGAAAGGAGCCACCCAAAACAGCATACTAGGGCCAGTGCTTAGGTGTAGGAATTGTGGCTGATCTGAGGTCTGAAGTTGTAAAAATTGGGGCTGATCTGAGGTCTGAAGGTGCAGGAATTGGGAATGATCTGAGGGCTAAGGGCTTGTTCACACCATTTTCTGGTCCTGATCTGGAGCAGATCTGCAGACGCTGTGCTATGCGCGCAGTGCGCTTTTGACGCGTTTTTACCGCATTCCAGTTAAAAAAGAGTGGGGCTGTCAGTGTGTTAGCTGCAGTGCGGTGTGTTTTTGGCACGTTTTGGTTGCGTTTTTTGACGCGTTCCTGCGTTGGACCGTAGAAAATCTGACATGCAGTATTTTATCAGTCTGGACCGGAACGGACTGCGCTGGTGAGAACTATAGCCCATACAACACATAGAGAGACACTGGGATGCATTTTGGGTGCAGGAGCGCACGGTTCTGGTCCGGACAGAATCCGGACATCGTGTGAACAAGCCCTTAAGGTGCAGGAGTTGGCAATAATCTGAGCTCTGAAGGTGCAGCAGATGGAGCTGAGCTGAGGTGTGAAGATACAGGACTCAGGACTAATCTGAGGTCTAAAGGTGCAGGAATAAGGGGGTGATCTGAGGTCTGAAGTACAGGAATTGGGGATGATCTGGGGTCTGTGGGTGCAGGAGTTGGGGATGATCTGAGGTCTGACATGCAGGAATTGGGGATGATCTGGGGTCTGTGGGTGCAGGAATTGGGGATGATCTGAGGTTCAAAGTGCAGGAACTGGTTATGATCTGAGGTCCGAAAGTACAGCTTTTGTTCACTGGCACGCCTGTTGTTTATTGCCTGTAAATTGACACTTAATGTGGAAAATTTTGCTGATCCCTGTGCTATAGTAATAACTGCAGCCTTGGAAAAAGTAGTCTCAGACTTTATAGTAGCAATACTGCATTGTGGTATCTCAGAGAACCAGGGTTGGCTGCCCACAAAAATAAATAGCTAGGCATTTAACTGCTTATTTTTTGGCACAGCAGTCTCTTTAAAATGTCCCTTATCACGGCCATGAAAGATTATGATTTTGGCAATGGTTGCCATAGGCCAGCTGGGAATTGTGGGAAAGTTGCCTACTTGGCATGGTATGGGAATGAGTCATGCCCCAGAATGCTGCCAGCTCAATGAGAGGATTTGCTTGGTTTAAGCATGGGCTGCGATTACAATATTCTCTCTATCTGTTAATGCGTATAAGCTTTTCCACACTGAATATTCTAGACGGCCCAAACAAACCTAGATAACTGATCCCTTTCTAAGTGGTTATGCAAGTGGGAAGTCACAAAAAGAACAGAAGGTCTGTCAGGTGAATTAGAACAAAATGGGACAGCTGAAATGAAAAAAGAATGTCTGTGTGAGGAACTCTAAAATTCGCCCTCCCATTGTGCTCAGAACAGACCAGTTGACTGTTTCAGTTAAATCCGATCCACGACACTTAAAAGATCCGCTATGAACGTTTTCTAGCACATTATTTTAAATTTCAAGGATAAACAGAATTAGAGGTAAGACCCAGTTTGTCTAAGCACTTAAAAGTACTTAATGTTCATCTTGTGTAATAACAGCCCTCAAAAGGGTTGGTTTTTGTTGTTAAGTTTGTTTCATTGTTGGAGTTAAAAACATTTCTTAAGGTGCCCATACACCTTACGAATATCGGCCCATTTTCGTATGCGATCGCGTTTTCGTACGATATTCGTAAGGTTGATGGGCAGTGTACAACCGCGAATACTGTACAATCCATAGACTTTTGACTAACCAGCTGGTTAGAAAACTTCGGTGGATCGTACGATATTCGCAAGGTTGGTGGCATTTCCGTACGTCGAAATTCGTACGGTCTACACTGCAGATGCGCAGACGAAAATACGTGCGATCGATTACCGCAATTCGTCCAGGTGCTTTCTTCTAATTAACGCTGATCCAACCTTGCGATATTAGGGGCAGGATGGGGCCGCCGTACAAAAATCGTATGATGGTTCGATCATCGGACGAAAAGTGTTATAGTAAGGAAGATGCATGGGCAGCCTTACACTTAAATTACTTTGTAAAGCAACTCCAGTCAGACAGGTCATTCATGGTTGAAACATGGCTGACCTCCTTCTAAAAAGACTACTAGCCAATATGCTGATCCTCTAGCTTCAATGTTTTCTGAGTTGCCCAGAACATGTATGCAGATCTGCAGAGTCATAGAAAAGTCAGACGTCCTTATATAAAGAGATAGGGCCAGCAGGACAGCCAGGCAGCTAGCATTGTCAGAGCACCAGCAATGGCATCTTCCATGTTTCTCTCATAGCAGGTTTGATTTTGCATCAAATATATTGTTTTATGTAAGGCTACTTTCACACGATGCGATTTGGGATCCCTGCGGCAGGAATCCCAAATCTTCTGTTTAGATGCGACCGCTATCACCCGTTCAAGTTAATGACCCTGGATGCATCTAGTCTGCTTCCAGGAACAGTGATCTATTCCGGCCCCAGTGTCAAAAAAAAAACCAAACAGGGGATCCCGGAAAGGTTTACTCTGCGCAGAGTAAACCTTTCCGGGATAAAACGTTTCTCTCCCGAGTGTCAGGGAGCCGCTATTTTATAGCGGGAGACTCCCGCAATATCCGGGAGATTTGAGTTATATGCTGTGCGGATAGACTGCGCAGGCACAGCCAGCACAAAGAATATTTTGTCCAGAGGAATGGAAAATCATGGCATGCATATTCAGATTCTTATACAGGGTTTGCCCATCGCTTTACGTATACAGTACATCTAGGGCAGGGAGAAAAAGGTAGGTCAAAGGATAAGCGTCATTTCTCTGAATATCTGTGTTTCAGTTTTGCATTACTATATAAGAAACATGAGTAGACATCACAATAAACTTCTTACGCAAGTGTCCCGTAACTCAGTATTGTAGTACCTGTCATAGTGAATGATAGACTTTTCTATGGACTACACACATTACCACCACCTGCGTCATACTTCATTGAAGTGATTCAAAAAAGGTGCAGCCAGGATGATGATGATGTAATCAAAACATGTTTTCCTATTAGACACAGACACTCATATATTAGTAAATGTTTCAGGTGTGTTTCACAGAATAGAAAATACTTATCATGTTACAGTTAGATTCTGTAGAACAATGGCTTCCCATTTTTAAAAAAAATGTGTTGCAGCACATAATTGTAGGTTCATCTTCAATTATTGTTTCCTGGTAGTCCTATTGCAAAGTCTCACTCTTGATCCTGCCAGTAAAATCCACTTAATGCAACTTCCTGCAATAGAATGACAATGCTGTTGCACTGCACCTGGGTACACAGCAGTACCTTGTGCTTGCTTGCATTACAGTGGGATGAAAAGACAATTAGGTGGTGTGGACATTAGCAATATCATTGCTGATTTACAAGCCTGCAGCTTGTCAATCATCACCTAGCCACATCCAGCTCTGCCCACTGCTTTCTGGATTGGCATCACTGCTTCTGTTGCTGAAACCCTCCCACTGTGAGCTGCAGTGTCTGGGAGGTTCAGTGTGTGAGACACAAATTAAGGAGGATTAGAATCATTTAAGGAACGTATGTTTAGCCAAAACTAGTTTTCTTAGTTTTGGATAGAGCAGATAAGAGATGGAACCCTTGTTGGGCCTTTACTGTTCTCTGTGGCTCTGTTAGAGAGACTTCCATTTACTTCATGTCCTACTGACAACATTTTACAAGGCAGGAAGTGAGGGGACTCTCCAATAGGAACACAGGCAGATGTAAAAAATATTTTTCTAGGAGAGTAGGCGAAGACAAAAGCCCTTGTTAGATATTTATTTTGTGGTTTTGTAGATTTTTCCTCACTTCCTGTCTGGTGAAACTGTTGTCACTGAAACAGGAAGTGGGTGAACATCTCTTTAACAGAGCACTGTGTAGCAGTTAAACTTGCTTACTTGCACATTATGGTCAGAGCCCCGGGAACCTGCAGTTCCATTTTAAGGAAACAGGTCTGTGTATTCAGCTTTGCTGTTCTGGGAGTGAAATGCGCATGTGCATAGCACCTGTTGGTTCAGCAAAATCTAGAAACGGCAACAGTTTTAAATTACACCTAATGCATGTCATCTTACATTTTAGGATATAACTAGATATTAGGAAGATGCTTGCTAGAAAACAACTGGATAGCTGAAAGACCGTTTTCACGGAAAACGAGCATACAGATGAATGCTTACAACTTGTCCAATGGCAACTACACTTTTGTCTGCTCTGAATACATGGAACAGCAGGCAATCACCTAAAAGTTTCCAAAATAATGTATTTCTAAATCTTTTTTGATCGTGTCAAGGCTATCTGTTGTAGTCGTTCATGCCCTATACAATGTCTGGAGACCTGTAGGGCTGATTCACACTATAACAATCCATTACTTTTCACGCTAACATGCGTTGTATTAAGGCAGCCCATTTGTAATGAATACACTGCCTTGGATCAAGAGACACACCTAACCATTTTTAGCAGCACACCGCACCACAACACACAGTATGTGCATTGTGATGAGCTGTAGTGTGTTGTGCATTGCATTCTACTGTACAGTACATTGGTATGCCATTCAAAATGTATGGCACTTCACATAGAACAGGTGCGTTGCAGAAATGCACGGTTACGCATGCGTTTTACAGCTACAATGCAGGAGTGTAAATAGGTCCTTAGAAATCACCAGTACCAGACAGTAATAGCTAATGTGTGTGAATTGCACATCTATATCTGATACGAGCCTAGCTTTAAAAAGACGATGTCACTAATGTCTTTTTTTTCCATTATTGCTCAGCAACTTATGATTTAGGACAGTGGTTCCCAACCTTTTTTCACCTGGGTACTACTTGGCACCCCATTTCCATAAATTGTACCCCTACCCTTCCCAAATCAGGGTGCATGGCAGCGTGCTGTGACTGCCAATGGAAACATAACTTAAGCAAAAAGAGGGGTGATATCAGATCATTGCCTGCCGAGGCCTGTGCTGCTGCTGTGGGATGAAGAAGGGGATAAAGGAGTGGAGTTGGGAGGCTGAGGTGGGGGGGCTCTTCGTGGTGTTGTGTTCAGTATGATCTCTGGGTCTGTTTAGGGTGCGGCCTGTGACTCTAGATTTCCTCGATCTAGGGCTTCTCTGGGGTTTTGGGCCTGATGTGGGTTGGAGGGCTAAGCATCATTTCATGATAGGTGTGTGGGTCATGGAGGATGCAAATGGTACAAAGGTAAAGTCTGGTGGCTCACCTGTATGTTGCAGTTCATGGAGGGCTGCAGCAATGTAGTAGAAGGAACCAGTGGTGCAGAATGGAGCAGGTCTCATCTGATTAGTGGACTGGTGGCCAGTGATGATAGGTTGGTCAGGCCTATTCTAGTGTGGCAGCGTTGGAGTCAGGACTCCCAGGCAGTACATGGGTAATGCACACGTGTGGTCCTGTAAAAAGGCCTGCTCTCAGGCCCCCCTTGGATAGATATCATGTGGTACTACCCACTCCCTGCACTACTGCACACCATATTGTGTGAAATATTGACATTGACACAACGCATTTTATGAACCATTACTTATTTGGTACAGATTATGACAATTTTGGTGCACTTAGGTTTTTTTCTTTACAATTGGTGCACTAATCGCATCTTTCTTTTAAAACCCTTAAACCTCAAAAATTATTTTGTGCATCCAAAAAAGCAGGTTCCCATGCACCAACTATGTACAGCAAAATAGTTGATGTGGCCCATAGATTTTTATTCAAACATTATGAAACATTTTGTAAAAACATTTATTTATGACATGAAATTTCCATGTGCAGCTGAGTAATGCATTTTGTGCATTTACAGTTTACCATTCATTTCAATGTACCTGTGTAATGTGTGTATAACATAAAAACACATTTGCATGCCTTCAAATGCACGGATTTTACTGGAAGAAAAGTATGAATGAGAGATTAGTAGAGGATATCCTGTATTTAAAAAAACTTATGTTGTGTCTGCATGGTGTATATAAACAATAGTGTCTACCCAAAGACCATAAAGTTGCTACACATGCCTATCACTAGTTTACGCTCTTTCAGTGCTTTAAAATACGAGTTATTTTTAGAAGATCCGCAGTCTTACTATGTAGAAACAAACATGGGCTATGTTTAGAAGTTTGTATCTGCTAACAGTCTCGTCCTTGAACTGAAGGAACACACACTGCAAATGTCCCTGACACACTTTCAAGTCTCAGCAGAGAGCTCCCACCTCTTAGTAAGAGACCAAATAGTCACACAGTTCAGCCTGACCCTTATCAGTCTGAAACCCTACATGGTATACTGGATCTCATTCCTTAGTTCATATGTGCATACACAGATACTACCCAGTATGACTTGCTGTACTCCTTTCTTGCACTGTAGCATGTATTTTAGTTTAGCTTTTGTTATTGCTTATAAGATAACCAGAAGATAACAGTGATGGTGTTCTTGCATTAGTGATGAGCATTGGCTTGGTGCAAACCCAGTACATTTGAGTTCACCAAACTGTAACTGCAACCCCTCCTCCTAGCCCAATCAGTTGTAGAAAGATGCATTCCCTACCCCGCAGTCACAGTTTTGAGTGGGCTTGGGCAAACTCAGGAGGATTGGGCCCGCACAGGCACATCTTTATTTTGCACCTATCCTTGCCAGGGCCGTCTTTAATACTGATTGGACCCTGGGCAAACATTTTCTTGGGCCCCCCACTCCTACCCACCTAACAGAAGAGTGGTGGTATCTTTTGCGTGCTCAAGGGCAGGGCCGGTGCAAGAATTATTGTGTACACAGATGAAGGTGCATTTTTCTGCTGTCAGTGCTGAGATGCAGGGCCAGTGGTAGGAGTTTTGCAGCACAGGACCTGCTTTGGACCCAACTACTATGACTGGGCCCTGGGCAGGTGCCCCTTTTGCCCTGCGTTAAAGACGGGCCTGATCCTTGCCAATGTGTCAAATAGTATTAACCGGATAGACTGCATTCTTAGCAGGTCTGGTGACTGTTTTTATGCGCCTTAACCACTTGCAGACCGGCCACTTTACATGTACAGCCAGTGTGCAACACCTTTGTTCTGGGAGCTCTGTCCCTTGTGATCGCTATATTTGTAAGGTTTACATTGCCAAATGCTCCCCTACAACAGAGATAGGGAAGACTAAGGGAATTACAGTATATGAAAAATCCATTCTCTCTCTGCTCTGAGCTGTTTATTAACCCCTTCAACTCCCTTATCCTGCACATCTATACTTTATCACATCACCTCCATCCTCCCCATTACCCAGCTCTGTGTTTTAAGCCCCTCAGTACCGGTATGTTTCTTCATTTCCAAAAATTGTGTCAAAAAATTACTTTCCAAATTACTTTCCAACATGACGACATTTCAGGGGTTTTCATACTGTCCTGGCATTTTTATTTGTTATTTGTTTTATAGCAAAAAAAAAAAAAAACATTATTTGTTCCCTTTATCAAGTAAAAAATAAAAAAAGTGGCTATTAAATACTATGTAAAAAAAGGTCTATGAAAAAAATGATACAAAATCAATCTGGGTGCAGCGTTGTATGACCAAGTCATTCTCAGTCATAACAACATTGAAAACTGAAAAATAGCCTGGTAATGAAGGGGGGTTTAACATGCCGGTACTGAAGTGGTTAAATAGTGAAATCTCCATCCATTGGACCAACATCTGTTAAAGTGTTTTGGTCAGCAATAGACCTGTAGATCACAACACTATTAGCAGTTAATACTGCCAGCTTATGGCAGAGCTACTATAATAATTCTGTTCAGTCAAAGCTCACTGAATACTGTTGATCCAGCTACATGCTCTTTGCACTATTCACAACACTTCACATGCTGCAATAATGCAGTAATCTGTGTATTGTACAACAGCAAAAAAGGTTTATTTATAAGGCAAATATAACCTTACAACTTGTTACAAATTACAGCAAACCAGCTTGACCTCTTCTGACTGTTCTATACCCATGCAAGATGAAACTATGAAGCCTCTTTGGCACATGTTAGGCCTCATGCACACAGTCCTCCTCTGTTTGACCCACATTCATCTCTTTTGAGTTTTAATGTACTTGTGTTTACATGCATTTTGCTGAATGCATTCAGCCATACCAAAGCAATACATGCTTCCAATGCGTTTACAATGAGCTCAAACTAGGGTTGCCACCTTTTCTTCCAGCGAAACCCGAACACTGTAGCGACGCACTGAAATGGTTTGGGGAAAATGAGTAATGGCGTATTCATATGTACATAGAGTCACCCATTCATATGTAAATATCACAGTCAAGACTATTTTCAGTGGGGGCCAGTGGAGCCTATCTTATTTTTGGTTGCCCCTGTCTGCCTGACATCATGTGTCCAGGTATCAGCTGCCATCAAACCCGGACACAGCATTCAAAACCCGGACTGTCCGGGTGAATCCTGGACAGGTGGCAACACTAGCTCAAACACATCTAGATGCTTATCTCAGATAGGGTATGTTATGGATTTTAAGAGGGGACCCCTCACAAAAAAATTCACATCAGAATTCCCCTTTCACATCGGATTCCCCCTTTGCATCACAAAGGCACCCCTGAGCAATGCAGAAGGTTCCCCAGTGTACCACAGCACCCTGGTTGAAAAGGGCTGTTATAGACATACAGCCAACCGTGTAGCACATGGCAGCAGCTACAATGTAAATGTAAGATGTAAATGTGGTATTCATTTTAGGATTTGGTTTTGATTTTTTGAGCGGTATGTCATGCACACTATGTTCTTTGTCACTGTCCCAAAGTTTTCTTTTTGAATCAGCAATGACCATATTTATCTTTCATGTTTAATAAAGAACAAGTAAAACAACATCAGAGAATACTGCTCTCTTAAAGCAATTTTAAAAAAAATCCCACCTCCACTAGACTCTCCACTCTAGCTATACCTCTTTTCTTTTTTTTTAAATAAAATTTCTAATATCATTCAACTAAAACTAACCTGGATCTATGATTTGGATCTTTCATCTCAATCAGTCTGCTGAAGCTCTGTATACCAGTCTATGAGTTGGTCTTATTGTTGCTGCTCTTGTCATTTTCTTCACACCAGTATTAAAAAAAGACTTCCTATTTGCCTATTCAAGGCAAAGTGGCAGTGTCTGCACATTCTCAGGCATGTACACTTACCCAAAAATAGGTAAGTATACATTCCTCCACCACCTCCCTGCTTTAGCAGTCCCGTCAGTCTAAACTCCAGTGTCGACTTGTGTATGAACTCGGACGAGGGAATGACATTATGTAAACCCTCTGACCATTTGACAGAATTCAGGCCTGAGCACTGGAACATTGGGTAGGTCACATGTTTCCCCATTCCTGGATGCCCCATTTCATTAGGCACTGCAGGAGGTGCAAGAGAGCATTGCTAGGGAAGTAGGTAGTATGTAGGTGGATAATTTAAAAAACATTGTGTCGTAGCTAAAGGTGCATGGCTCTTGTCAATGATATGGCCGGGTTACCCTGGAATACATGTCTTATGGTGATAATAGGTATCAAGCTGTATGTGCTGTGTCTGCATGTCAGCTTATACAGCCAGTGTCCATCCTACGGTGACAACACTGCTCCTGCTTAGTGAGCCGCTCAGGGAACCTTGTCACACTAGGACAGAAAGTTGACGAGCAGGATCTCCAGGCTGAAAAAAACAAACTGAAAAAAGAAGTCAACAAGAAAACAATAGGAACAATGGAACTAGTGGGGGGTAAACTAGTATTTAAACCCTAACAATTAACTCTTATCTGGTCTCTTTTGCCCTGTTAACAATACCATTTGTTATTTTTCTTTGATAGGTTAAAAAAAGACCTGTTGATCTTGCCATAAGTCTTGTGAGCTGATAACTTCCTGTGCTTTCTGCTGGCTATGATTAGTTACATTCCTAAGCAGGGTATACACAAGTTGGTTTTCGCATGAACTTTCATACAAAAAATCCAGTCGGAACGATCGATAATACCATCAGAGACTTGGTGATTGTCGTTCGAATCCCAAATCAATTTTGTACGTTAAAAAATCTAACCGTGTTTGCCCAACTTTAGTTAGCTCTGAAACTAGAGAACCACACCTCTCTATGTCATGTAGAATAGGAAAAGGGTGGGTTTCCGTGGTCCTATCTTGGTTTTATTGTCCTGATACAGATGGAGGAATAAATGCTGTTATCTTAGGACAAAAGTGTGTCATTGGCAGAGTTACTAATTCCCACCAGATGCGTTTTTTCCACCGCAACCTCCAATCCAGGACAAGGTAATTTGCCTTGTCACGGACGGGCACAGTTCCCATGCAGTACTTTTTCTCAGCACAGTGGAATGCAACATGGTACAACTGCCTTGCACCATGCTGTGCCCATAGATCGTAATGAAATGTCACAAAATCCCATCATGCTTCTACCTGCCTATGGTTGACTAGCTGCCTGCAATGCCTCATGGAACTTGCAGTTCCACAACAGTTGGATTGCTGAAGTTGCCCTCCCCAGCCTTAGACCAATTTCACCTGGGCTTTCCGATCAGGTCCGCATGCCAGTTTTTCAGGAGCATCTGATCATAAGCCCAATGTTAGTCTATGAGCAGCCAAATCTAAATGGACGGGTGTCCATTTACATCTGGTTACCCCTTGCTCCACCCAGGTCCGGCAAAACAAACTAAACAGAGTTCTGTTTTGCCAGACCTGATCATGCCAGATTGGGGGTAATCGGATGTAAATGGACATGATTCCCCAACATGGGTCCGGTAATTAGTTATTTCCTCCTTCGCAAGATAGAGGAAAAAACTGTGGACACAGATGTCACAATAGGGACATCCATTCTGATCAGGAAATCTGTGCATGGACTCCCTCCTTATCAGACTTTGTGAAAAGGGCCTTAGAGCAAACTAAAGTAAAACAGGGCTAGTATACATTTAGGTACTTACCGACTACTATATTGGCTCTGTTGGGACAACTGTTCAGGCTAATGGAACAATACATTCAAAGCAACATCTACTGACTTATCTAACCAAAAATGAACTGTTGAAATGTGGGTGTTGCTGGGAAATTCAAAAGAATATAGGTGTCCACAAAGGTATGGCTAACCAGAAGGGCCATTTATGTTAATATGTTTGGTAAAATCCATTAGAACACCAGAAAGAAGAGGCTACCTCATAAACTGTATCCTACATTTGGAAAGGGTTGTAAAGTCTCTTCTTGTGTAGGACCGGTTCTTTTTTTATTTTAAACCCAGCTAAAGCAGTTTTTATTTCTTATAGCAAACACTCTAGCATTTTTTTCCACTGACACTATGCCTATTACACAAGTTTAAAATCAGGGTTAATGTTTAGTGATTTTCTGTGTTTGCTTTTTTATGATTACTATGTCCTCGGTGACATTTGCAGCTGTCAATTATCTCAGAGAACAGAGAACAACTAGTCTCTGGTTTAAGTGCTTGTTCACACCAGCAGCAACACTCAACCGCACGGCTGCTGGTGTTTGTGTACCCGTACAGTGCCAATGTGCTCGATCAGCCGTATTGCGCTGTTTCTTTTTTTTTTTTTTTTGCTAGAACTTTTTTAAAATTGTCACAAGAGACATTTAATTAAGTTATATGGGCTTGCTCACACTGTGGTGTGCTTAGAAAAAGTACCGCATGCCGAACTGTCACCACCCATGACAAGGCAAATTTTGTCTTGCGGTCGGGTTGCACTGGAAAAAATGGCCAACGCAGCCCAAACATAGAAGGTGTGAACGAGCCCTCAAGGACAACTATTAAAAAAAAGTTTTTAAACATAAATATCACATAAATGATAATATGTGATTTATACATAAACTGATAGTATTCCGTATATTGATTCTTTTAATTAGCTGCAGTCACTGTTTGGGATTTCTGAGAGCCGGCCGTCAGTATACAATGGCCCGGCGGGAAGGGGGCATTAATCCAATCTGGTAGATTTCTTCAAATCAACCTGTTAGAAATGTAATAGTGTACGGCCAGCTTTAAGGAGTTGTAAAGTCCCAGCATATCTTAGCCTGTTATAACATCAGCGTTGTAATAGGAATACATACTAGAGTTGTTTTTGATAATGCAATCAAAGCTTACTTGAAAAAATTCCTTTTATGTAGTGAGTGCTGTCTTCTGTCTGCCCATCACTTTCACCAACTTCCTGGATTCCCAGTGTGCTATGCATATCTTTTCCTATTGATTGACGTGATGCAATCTAGATTTTTCAAGACAACATATCCCATCATGTATCACTTCCAGCAAGCAATGATGATGTTACATTGTTCAGAAGTTGAGTTGTAGTTCAGAAGACAGGCTCTGTGAATGTTGTGACACAAGCAAGTACATTTTCGCACGGTTGAGTAAAATGATGTCAGTGTATTGAGGAAGTACATCCTATGGGCATCTTCAATAAGTAAGTTTACAAACTTCTAGATCAATATGGTTATTAGGAGTGGGATAGAGCTTATGGAAATTCAATATAGAAATACAGATTTATTTCTAGTTTTTGACCATAGATACCCTATAAGTCTCCTTACTGGTAAGATTTAATGATGTAATCCTCACCCCTGGATACATTAAGCTTATTTTCTCTTTATATAATCATACTCTTAATTAGTGTTTTTGGTTTCTTGCTAAATTACCTTGTATTTGCACTTTGACACTGGAACAATCAGATACATTTTCCATGCACGGAACTGATATAATATTAGTAAAACTGGTCTATCCAGTCAACAATCAGATACATTTTCCATGCACGGAACTGATATAATATTAGTAAAACTGGTCTATCCAGTGCCTATATTTAATCTTTAAACTTTGGGAGAGGAATCATGATGCTGTCCAGAATTTCCGCCCTTCATGTTAAAAATCCGGTTTTGACACTCAGGGTATGTAAATCTGTCACTTAAAATAGCGGATTCCCTGTTTTGGTCTGTTGAATAAATACACAAACACTATGAAGGTACACTGCATCAGCTATTTTTTAATACTGGCCATGTACTACCTAATTGTAACAAAAACTAGAAAGAATGGGGCTGTAAGACCATGCCTGGCAGCGGAGATAGGACTGCGCATAGGCATGTTCACCGCATTTGCGGGAAACGGCAGCTATTGCGCATGCGCAAGCGGCAGCCGGATGCGCGAAGACGTGCTCACATGGCGCACAGGAAATGACTCGCTCTGTCTGGGGATGATCCCAGAATCATTGCTGAGTGGTCTTTCAGCTTAGTGTGTGTGTTCCTGCACCTTGCCTGTTGCTGTGTTATTGTCGACCGGATTCCTTGACCTTGTCCGACTGCTGCCTGCCTCCGACTTCTGCTTGTCCCTGGATTCTCCTTTGCCTTCTCCTTTTGTACATTGCCGCCCGATTGTTGCTGACCCTGGCTTGCCCGACTCCGCTCTGCTCCAGCCGCATCAACACCCGCTACCTGCTTCACTGAAGACGGGCCTCAAGGACCTGCCCAGGCCCAGTGTCCTGCATCTTCCTGCACCGGTGCTGCCCGCTGTTCCCCCACCTCCTGTCTCCACATTCAGGGGTGTGGAACTCGTGCTGCAAAGGAGGCCTCCTCACAACTCGGCTCCCCACCAGGTACGTGACAGGGGCTTTAAAAGTGTCACTCTAGGCATGAAAAACACATATTGCACATATATCAATATTGGAAAATTCATTTTTATTGTCCAAATAGGTAAAAAAAGAGAGCCAATATAGACCCATCAATACCACATTCATAGCAACTCCCTCCACCACAGTGCAATCTAAAATGGCTATAGGCCTCATGGTGGCTCAGAACCTATTTTTTTTCTGTCCCATGTACTACCTAATACTTGATATCTATGTGACAGTTTTGAGCATGGTAACTTGGTAGTGTAAAGCTGGCCATACGCTCTCCAATGGATTGCGCAATCTCTTATAAATCTACCAAAACTATATGAGGGCCTACCGTAACAGTCCTTTAAAGTTACACTAAAATCAGGAGTTAAATCTTAATAATGCATTTAAGTACCCCAACTTTCAACAAAAATGTAGCTTATGTATCACTCGGCTGTAGACCCTCACATCATTAGATATTTAGCCATAGAACATGCCATTAGATCTTTCCCCTACAGAAGATGCCAATTGATTACTAAAGGATGAGAACTAGTTTGTCAAATGTATAGGTACAGGAAGAGGATATTCCAGTATATATCATGTTGTTTTCCCAACAATGCTAAAGTTCCAAAGCTACCATTTTTAAAGTATGGCTCCTTTCACATGGGTGGTCCAATCAATGTAATGCTATGGGCAAACTGGATGTAAACAGACACATTGATGGACTTTTCCCTCCAAGTCCATTTAATTCCCGAAACAAAAAACCCAGAGGATCCTCCTCTATTTTCTTGGATCTAAATGTGACGGATCGGAGGTAATTGGGTATAAGTGGACATGTCTTCTTACATTCAACTGCTTATAGACCTAACATGGGTCCATTTAGTTCAGTTTCCTCCATCGCAGAATTTCTGGATGCCCTGTGCCTGTCCTAATTTATCTTACTCGTCTAGCAGCAAAATGTTCTTGATCCAAGGTCTCTCAGTAACCTTCTTTGTCACTGATACTCTGTTACTGATAGATACCCTTATGGTTTAATTAGGTGATTGCATACAGCTTTAGCTGTACTGACTCTGACCGGATCTGCCCCTTGTGCTTTGCTCTCTCCCTCTTTCTTATACTTCCCTATGTTCATCTTCTCTTCTCTTTATTGGTGTGTAATGCCCTTTAATTACTGTACTTTTTTTTATTTTGTAATTTTGCAGAACCCCAATAACATGAATAAAAAAATTAATAAATGTTTTTTTGATCACACTAAAGCTGCAGCACAAATGAGCAAACAGGATCTTGTTTTAGGACTTTTCTGGATCAGATAAGCATGAAGATAACCACACATTGATATTATCTCAGTGGTATTGAGGAGGTATCATACACCTACATTTTTTGGATGGTATACTAAGACATCCTCTTTAATACATCTCTTCAGTGCATACCCATTTCCCTGTGGCTCATCTCTGAAACAATGCTGCAAATACAGAAAAATACCTGTTGATCCTGCCGAAAATCAAGTTTGCTCCCACCTTCCTGTTTGGGCAGTGTCTTTTCTTGCAACATTACCTGCTGGATTTTCAAACTTTGCCTATCCCCTGCCCTGCTCAGCATGCATACATTGACTTCTTAACCAGCAAAACCATGCTACTCCCATGGCTCCCAAAAGCCTACCTACACACTGTCCGTATGAAAGGGCTCTTGGTTGACGCAGTTCTGGGAATTGAGCTCCCTGCAATCATTTTACAAGTCTGGTGATGTCACAGGGAGGGAAAAGGGGTGTTTCTCACAACAAGAACAAGGTAAAAAAAATACTGGGACATGCCCTACAGATCTGGGTAATGCCCCAACATAGTTTAGTTTGTAAATCAACTAAAGGAAAAGCTTTCAGTATTTCAGTGATAAACAACACTCTCCCACATAATCCTTACATGGATATTTGAAACTATCTTTGTTTCTAATGAAACTGAAGTATAGTCTGAGAGAGGTTTTTCCATTGTCTCTAAGTAGTGGGCGGGGTCTGTCATCACAGGCCCCTTGAGTGAACGTCCACCACTCTAGGCAGACTTGTAGGCACAGAGCTGGAGCACGCACTGTCTTGTTTCCCCAGGCTCACAGGGAAAGGACTCTACACTATCTGCTGTCAATGAAAGCAGATGGGGGCCGAGCGACACTGGATTGCATTGATACTGAAAGTGGAACTACAACCTCCTATCCCTTACAGCCAAGGAAGGTGCCATCTTAGCCTCTATTTGGATTGCAGTTGCTGCACATGCTAGGAGACCAGCTATCTGAGCTCAGTTGAGAGCTGAAATAAGCGCACTGGCAACCTTAACAATTGACATGCCTTAAAAGTAACGGTTTCTAGAGACATTCAATTGGTGGGTAAAGTTCCTATTTAAACTACCACTTTAATGTAGGGTTCTGTCTTCATGGGCTTTACAAGGGGCACTTTGCAGGCACTTCTGACCCCTGCCAATTCCCTCCCAGTGAGTGTGCACTGAGCCGAACTGCTCGGAATTCATTTGTTGCGTTTCACACTGGGCCACACATTGCCATGCCACTCCATTGACTTACACTGGCCAGCAGTCAGAACATTTTAGAGGCAGAGCACATATATTAGATTGTGTATGTCAGACATGAAAATATATACAGTTCATCAGTCCGGTCCAGGAGTAAAAAGTAAAAGTAAATCAACAACAAAGGCGTATTTGTAAAAGTAGATTTTTTTTCTTTTATTGGTTAAGACTGCTTCAGAAAAAGAACACAAAAACACAGTCTGATAAACAATATATGTCGTATGGAATAAATTAATATCTACATGCCATTTAACAAAAATGCTACATACATATAAAAAAATAACTTTGTGTGCATTTTACGTTTTTACATTTTTTTGCTGTACATTTTTTCAATTTACATATTTTATGTACATTTGTTTTTGCACAACTGAACAGCACCATTTACATTTGTACCTTCACACACGCACACCTGTACTTCAACAGTTAGGGAAAAATCTTAACTGTTTTAAGTGTTCACAAATCACCTTAACAGAACACGAGAATGTTTCTAAATGATAAGCAATGGCTGTTGCCTCACCTGAATAGGAACCGTTTTTTGTTTTAGCCAAAACTCTCTCTCCATATAGCTGCGGAGTTCTTTTACTTGAGTTGCCTAATGACATGGGTGCAAGTTGCCTATTGTTTCCATTGTGCAACTAAAATCAGTTATCTCCATAGAGACATTGGTATTAAGAAAAATAAACAAGCATGACTACAGCGGGTGGCAAAGACATCCATCACACCCAGAAGTATTGGATGCCGAAGATTTTACCAGTAGAGTTATCTCTGCAAGAAAGCAAAGATCCACTGAAGAAGGTGGTACTTAAATATCATATATGGAGATTATTTTTACTACTGCAGTGTCTCTTTAGGCTGCCCACAGATTTTAGAGTGTGGCCAGGTAGGATCTGACAGTCCTTTAGGACAAGCATTCATTAAAGCCGACAGGTAGTTTCAATAAATATGGGGGGTGGGTGGGTGACAGTAGCAAATAGGACAGACTTTATGACCTGTCCAATAATACCCACCCACTCCTCATCAGTGGCTGGTTAACTCACTGTCAAGACTGTCAACCCCTTCAATATGATACAGCTAGTCCAGATGACATTTCTCCAGTCTATAGGAAATCTTACAGCTTTGTGTTTAGATTTCCACTGAAACGTCGGTCTTAAAATTACATGCTGGTGTTCCATGAGCTGTACAGAGACGAATATTACATCATGACTTGACCTGGTTCAATAGGCAACTTAGCAAGGAAAAAAAAATGCAGATATTTGGAGAGATCCTTTAAGAGATTTTGACACATCAAGAGGCCACCTTTTATTTGGCAATTAGACATCACTGTGTTGTGATGAGCAATTACAAGAAAAAAATAAATAAAAAAAAATAGGCAAATGTACCTATCATGTTGCATCAGGCTTCATGTCTTCTGCCAATAAAACGTTCAGTTATTGAGCATTTTAGAACTTTTTTTTTTAGCTTGGTTTATGTTGCTACTCACTTTGGTACAAAACTAATATACTAAACACAAAGAGAGCTAGACTCCACATAAGATAAAATTGAAACAGAATAATAGTGTAACTAATCATAAAGTGTTGCTTTACCCTGGTGCTACTTATAGCACCAAAAGATACATTCACAATACAAGCCATGCAAATTAAAGATTTAAAAAGGGATTTCTTTAAAATCACATCTCCCTTAAAGTAAATCGTTTTTTATTTTAATTCTGCTACTTTGAAAGAACATCTAATGTTGCATTTTAAACTTGTTAAAGAATAAATGGCAAAGCTGCGGAAAACATTAACTCCTGAATATAACATGAAATGTCACCTTACAATTAAACGAAACAGCACAGTGACCCTAGGTTTATACTCCCTATGCATGTAATACAGATATATTAAGAATAGTACAATTCTGTTGCAGAGCTTTACATTAGGATTCTCTATAACTGACTGCAGCGTAGAATAGTAGATATGTGAATTATATTAACCCTTTCCCGTGCTTCTGGGAGAAACACATTGCTGTTGTGCCTTTAGCTCAGGACTGCACTTTTGTACAAAGAGCAAAGTAGCTGCATTTGTTGGTCAGGACTCCCACTGGTGACCCAACCTACAGATTAAAAATACTGCATATATTCTGTTAACATACTGTAAAGTTACATGAAACAAAAGGGCTTCACTGATATTGCACACTTAAGATCCCCACATGAATACATTGTGCCAAAATCCCTGCACAATAGTCACAATGTGCACTTGTTTCTGAAGTTGCCACATGAGCTAAGGCAACGCCAACTAGTCAATTCCCATTGGTTGGTTCATAGAGAAGACTGCGGTTATGTCTAGTATAACCATTGTACAATACTAGACATAAATAAGCAGAAACAATGCAAGGAAAGTAGAACATTAACAAATAAAAGTTTGGATAGGCAGTTAAAATATCAACATTGCCATGGAATGTAGAAGAGACAACACCGACATTTTAACACAAGTACAGCAAATTCACAAAATCCGCTAAATGTGGAATTTGAAGAAACCGCCAAGCTAAAACTGCAACTATGGAATTATAAGTAAAATGAAAGGGAGACTACTCCACATAGCTTAGACTAAGACTCGGGAGAATGACTCAAATCTCCAAATATGCAGTTTTAGCAGCAAATCAAAGACCACCAAATTTAGATGTATAAATGGCATTACAAAATTGGCTGTTGTTATGTTGGCATTTGAAATTGAGGAACTCTTGTAGGCATTTAAAACGAATCTCTAACTTGTGAAACAATGTCATCTTTCATTCACAACATCTTTCAGTACAATTTCACCACATGCATACAAAGTATAATGCCCTTTGTTACAAAGGATAGAGGTGGCGACTACGACGTTTGAGTTTTGGCTTGCAGTCATCAAAAAAGAAGGAAACCTCAAGGTCACTTGGTGGAGAGCTGCTTAGACTGTCTTCCCCACTGCTCATATCTTCACACGAGTCCTCACTGGAATTAAGACAAGGGGTCAGTTACTACAGCAGTAACACAATCCAAAACATTGCTTTATTGCAGTTCAGGACAGGGCACAAGCCAATGAACAGCTTATATGGTAGCATTGCATACAACAGTTCAATGTAGTAGCTCTAACAAACTGGCCACAGGCTAATAGACTTTTCATTTAGCTTGAAAAATCTAAAACGATTCCACTATATATGCTAAACGACGTAGCTATTGGGCAATTGTATTCCGACAGCTGGCACAGTCAGAATATGTATACGGTGAATGCATCCAATTGGCTGCATTCGCTGTTTGGCCAACAATTTTTAGCCTGTCTCCTTCAACAAAAGTCCAATTAGTAATCAAGTCGGAGAGAGAGGTGCCAGCAGGGCCACCTACTGTTAGAATTTTGTCAGTTTCCTGTGAAATTTTAACAATGCAACTCCAGCTTTATTCTTCAACATTAACTGTTTGCTCATACTTCATTCAAAGACAAACCTCACCAGGAAAGTGAGTTTAGTGCCTACATGAAGGTGCATTCAAAAGAATCCTAAAAGCGGGTAACATCTGATGGTCTAGCTTGCCAATGGGAAAACAGGCACATCCTAAAGAAATTACTAACCACAACATGCAAAAAGGCAAAGAAGAGTATGGGAATCATCTAAGGACCTATGTTCATGCCATTAGTTTGAGACTCTTCGGAGATCATTCATAGACAAGTGCATTTAACCTGCAGTTGTCCTAATCTGCATTTAACCTGCTTTAAGTGGGATTTGCATTCCCACACATTTGTATGAGCATGCATAACCCACTTGAAGGGAACAACAGCCAGGCCCTAATAGACATTACCATATGGCTATAAGTAGACATCCCAACTGTAATATATACCCATTTACAAAATATACCAACAAATGGGTAACATACTGTAGTTGAGTCTGCAATACTTTAGGTGGCAGTCTTAAAGACACGTCAATGCTATTCTAGAAGATCAGGTCAAATAACAGAAAGTACTAACAGCTTAAAATAGGAGCTGGCAAAACAAACCACAGTCCTACTAGATTATATAAACACATTTACACACTAAAATTGCAGGCCATTTAGATTTGCTACACTACACTGGATAAAATGTTTAAATGGTCTCCCAATACAAAAAATTAAGTGTGTAGAATCATTCGATACAACTGAGTATAGTACATACCTCTCACTTTCATTCATAAATTCATACTCTGGAATGGTTGGTAACTCTGGAACACTGTAATAACTGTTATGAAGGTTCTGTGCAGTGCGTCTGGACACAATCCATACAAGCTTCTTGTGGTCCGGTTTGCAGCATTCTGGGGACGAATAATCTGCTAGGCATTGGGAAACAAGCTCTCTCCAATAGAGCATGTCTGTGTCCTTTACCTGGAATTAGATGTGAAACATTAAGAGAAGTTGTCAAAGGAAACAAATTCAACTGCTTATCTATCCTACTAAAATTCCAGCTGCCTGGGTACTGTTGCGGTAACACAATGGCTTCAATGCCTTTTAAATCACTGACCCGGAACAGGTATGCAGATCAGGTGTTTATTTTGGGTCAGTGACACAATGTACTAAAGCCAGACCATTAGCATTTTCAGAAGGTCAGAGCAACCCCATAAGTCTGTGGTTTGGGTTGGGGGGGCTGCGGACTGTGACCACGTTTCATGTTACACCAAACATGGTTTAAAAAGATGTAATTAGTCTTTCGCATAAGCCTTTATAATAGATCACTCTAATTACTAGCGAAAGATATGTTTCTAACGAATAGGCCCACTTATTTAAGGTTTGCAGACTCAGCATAGTATCAGAGAACAGAAAAGTTACCCCCTATCAAAACAAGAATAATAATGTGCTTACCTTTGAATGTTTCTGTACGCGCAGAGCTATCTCAAACAGTTCCAGAGACTTCAAGGTTTCTACTTCGAGTGTAAGAAGGCACAAGGCTAACACTGAGGGCTAAAGACAGAAGAACACAATGTAAGTGGAGTCTTTTATCAGTTACAGATTATCAAATTGAAGTTAGTAACAATGCGTACTTTTGCTTTGGAAAAAATGAGGCGGCAGTTGCAAGCTTTCAGCTGAGCTTCCAGTTTGTCAAGGTTTAATACTTCTTTCCTGAAAAGAAAAATATATACAGTTAGACATGTAATAAAAAGACAGCACAAAATGCAGCACATAAGCTTTTTATCTATTGTTTCATATCACTTTAAAATGGTTACCTGGCAAAGCATGTGGTTTAGTGGTTAGCACAGGGTTCCCGGGTTTGAATCCAGATTCAGCTAGGACACTATCAGTATGGAGTTTGCATGTTTTCCCTGTGCTTCCATGGGTTTCTTCCCACACTCCAAAGACATGATGATGATAGGCTAATTGGCTCCTGTCTAAATTGTCCATATTCTATGTGCATGTGAGATAGGGACCTTAGATCATAAGCTCATAGAGGGCAGGAACTGATGTGAATGAATGTACAGCATTGGGTAAATTGAGGCTGCTATATAATTACTTGTAATTTATTACAGGTATTTATATAACATTGACAATTTTGTGCAGCGCTTTACATAGTTGCACATTCACATCAGTCGCTGACCTCAAGGAGCTTACAATCTAAGGTTCCATCTCACATGCATACATAGAGGGCCAATTTAGACAAGAACCAATAAACCTCCCAGCATGTCTTTGGAGTGTGGGAGGAAACCTGAGTACCCCTGCAAGCAGAGGGAGAACATGCAAACTCCTTGCAGATATCAAACCTACTGCTTATTACTAAAACTCTGCTGCCTTTATATACCCCAAAAGCTGTAAACGGTGCCCACTTAAATCTGATAGCCATTAGTAGGCCTGCAGTTTAGGGTGATGTGCAGCCAACAAATGACCATTAAAAACAGTTGTTTAGGCAGCTTTGTGCTTTACTTTCTTCCATATAGATGTGGAGGTGTAGAAGTAACAGTGGAAACTAAAGTTCCACAGGTCAGAAGCAGGAGGGTGGCAAGTATGCTATGGAAACTATATACTGGACAATAATCCCCACCACACATTGCTGGTCTTGCTGATTAAAGTGTTGTCTTCAACCCCCCCTTATGTGTAGGTAAATGTTCCACAAACAAGAGCACGTTACAATTATAAAATCAGCCTAAAACACCAAACACACAAGGTACCTACCTCTCAGAGGAATGGCAGACTACTAAAGTGTGGTATAAGTGCAAGAAGGTTAAGGCAGTGGTAGCTTTGAAGTCAAAGTGCAGTTTTTCGGATATGATTTTCTCCATACGTTTAATGTCAGACACACTGCATTTACATTGGCTGATGCGGATGACATCATGAGTGGATGGGATATTGCATTCCTCCTCTATAACTCTGGCCGCCATTTGGAAGCAGCAAACGCCAATACAGGACAAGTGCTTTGGCTTCACCTTAATGAAAATACAGAAGTTAATTTATGCCACTGCAAGGTTTTGACATTTAAGAATAAAAATATATATCAGTAAAAGGAGAAATCTTTCAAAAGCATTGGTGACAAAGATGTGTATATATTGCTTACATCTACCATGTACACAATACACCAAGCAGAACGTTTCCCCACATTATTTCTAAAGTGCCTTGAGCAGTGAAAGGGGAATCTCACTGTCACAGGTAGAACACACGTCATTTTAACCTGGTACGTAGTGATAGTGGAACAGAGCCAAACAATTTATGTACATGCATTAATCCCTCCTTTTAAAACGCTTATACATTCCCATTATAAACAAGATTATCAGAACTGATAACTGCAAACTACATTGAATGCAAAAGTGTTACGAAAAATGTTAAAGCTGTACTCTAGGCACAAAACGCATTTAAATATATTCCTCAACCCCCAAAGGATATAAATCCATTGAGTGCACCATCTGCCTTTGCAAACCTGGATATTACATTGTACAATTAGCAGTGACATCATCACTGTGCTGTACATAACCTATGTGGAGAGCAGAGCTGTGGAAGAGATCCAGCAGGCCCCACCCACTACAAGCTGCCTGCAGAAAACTACTGAAAGGGGTGGAGCCAAGACCAATCACCCTGCACAAGTAGGGAGAGCAGCAGTGATCGATCTTTATTACAGGAAGCTCCTGCAGAAAAGCAAAGTTCTACACTGGATTACTGCACAGATTTGGAAGAAATACGCAAAGCACACCAAACAAAGAATACACATTCCCCTTATATTTAACAAATATTTGCCTATTCTTGAGTTCTACTTTAAGAATAATTCTGTGATAATCTCACAACATATGAAAAGCAAAATGGCTATAACAGGATACATGCATCACAAAAAACAGCAAGAGGGTTAAAAAAGGTCATCCGATCTTTTATATAAGGCCATGTTCACACCAGATGCAGTGCATTCCGGCCCGATTCTGGCGAGAATGCACTGCCTCGCATTCCAGCCGGCTCACTTTTTTGTGGGGCAGGAGGGGGCGTGACATTATGCCTGCAGTCCGGTCCGAACAAATGCTGTAAGCAATATTTTGCTCGAGGCCTTGTAATCCCATAATGTGCCTTGTGATCCCATGTGGCCAATTGCATTGCAGCCGGAGGGCGTGGCTACAGTGCCATTCACGTTAATGGACCGCCACGTCCCCTCCTGCCCCACAAAAAAAGGAGGGCAGTGCGTTCTGGCCAGAACGCACTTCATCTGCTGTGAACGAGGGCTAATTCTGCTGATAAAAGTACACATGGATAGGGATAGCCCAGTGCTCCCCATTAATGCCTTATGGGGCAGGAAGCATTGCCCAACAAGTAGTGGAAAATGTTTATGTGCAAGCAATTTCTTCACAGAATCAAATCTTGATGTATAAAGCACATGAAAGAGCTTAAACTTCTATTCAGAGAAAATGCAATGGCGTGACTTTCATTAAACAGAAATGTATACTTACAATTGTACAATACATACATGTAATATATCTGTACTGACCCATGGAACAAATCCTGTCTACTGAAGCTTCCAATGTAAGCAAGCACTCAAACGTGGGAGGAGCAGAAATTCCCACAGGAGAAAAGAATTTAAATCCCTCTGCCTCTAAACCACCAGTGTTATGCTTTCATGTTATAACGTACACACATTATGGAAAGGCTTTTATTTTGTAGGAGCAGGCCTTACTTTCATGATAGCCAAAAACCGATCCAAGATGTTCACAGCCAAGACAAAGGTCTCCATACTGAAGCCATAGAAGTTTGTTAAACTCCACAAGTCTTCTACCTTTGCATTTCTGGATTTTGGACAGATTGTATTATCATTCTGTACAAAAAAACAGCAAAACACGTTATTCATCTAATAGCAATAAAACAAAAACACAACAGCAGTACAGTAAAAAATATACACAAATTAAAAATGCACTTTATGAGTGCTCCTAAATTACTGTACATGGGTGCAACTGATCATAAATACTAAATTGTACAATATTCATGTAAAAACAGATGCTAAAAGATCATTAAAAAGTGTACAAATCTAATGAAAGTAAATGGTGTGCAAAAGTAATATTACATAATAAGTAATATTAAAGAAAAAAAAAAAAGTTCATTAAATGGAATATTAGAAAGCTCCAAGTGAAGTTACCTGGACAACAAAGTTAATTTTAAAAGTAGAATATAAATCAAAGGAAAAAGGTGTGCAAAACTAATAATGATAATAAAAAAGGGTTTATGAAAGAATATCTGAAAGCGTCAAGTGAAGCTACTTGGACAACAATGCTCAAAAGATATTTTAAAAGTTTAAAAATATAAGTAAAAGATATGCAAAAGTTATATTAATAAATATTAAAACAGAAAAAAGCTAATAAATGCAATAATCAGAAAGCTCCACACTAAGCTACTTGGACAACAATGCTCAAAGAAATGTTAACAATATAAGTAAAAGATGTGCAAAAGTAATATTAATAAATATTAAAGAGAAAAAAAAGCTAAAATACAATAAATACAATAATCACAAAGCTCTATGCTAAGCTACTTGGACAACAATGCTCAAAGATATTTTAAAAAGTATGCAAATATAATAAAAGTAAATATGTTTGCAAAAGTAATAATGACTATTGAAGAAGAAAAAAAGAAGGAAGAGGAAGGTCTTATCAAATGGAATATCCGAAAGCTCCAAGTGAAGCTACCTGGACACCAACAACAAACATGAGCCTTCCCCCACCCTCTTACCTCTCCGGTGGACTCTATAAGGATCAAGCCCTTCTCCTTGGGCTGGTACTTGCATTCTTGCTCCAGATGTACATTCAGTTGCTTGAGAAGTTTAAAGGCTTCGTTGCTGGTGTTATCCAGGGCTGCTAAATCCTTCATCTTGGATCTGGCTCAGAAAAAAGACACAGCAGAAAGGAGAAATAAACAAGTGGAGTCTTTTCCCTTAGAGTCAGCAGCGATCAGCTGGTGAGAGGAGTGTCCTCCTTGCTGGGGCGGATCTCACCCCAGGAGAAGGAGGAGGAGATGGCTGACTACAGCCAGTTAATCACGTCTACATAGCCTAGCAAACATCATCTGGGGTGGGGGATTTCCTTTGTGTATCTAGTGACCCACCATCATCTCAGCTGATAGAAGAAAAACAAACAGCCGCTCCTTCTCCGCTACAAACAAGGCAACTGGATCAGATCTCACGGATCACTCAGCAACAATAGTGTCAGACCCGCAAATAATCAGTGGAGTGTTTTCAAAGTGGCCAACAATGTAGAGACCATCAGAGATTTGGGTTCTATCTCTATGATAGGTGTCCAATAGTCCCTATAGGAATCAAAGCAAAGGAACGTCTCTCTATCGCCAATACTGAGCCCTGGATTTTCAAACTTTGATCTGCTGGTTACTTCCTTCTTTTTGATCATTAGGTAAATCATATAATAGGACGAAGTCCAAACGATGGAAGAGTTTGACCTGATATGCTGCCCTTTGTATAGACGTGCACAACATATGAAGAGCAAACCTATGGGGGGGAATTTACCAAAACTGATGCAGTTGTCCATAGCAATTCTCTCTTTAGCTTCTTCAGTTAAGCTTTGGAATTGAAAAATAGAAGTTGATTGGTTGCCATGGACAACTGCTCCCCACACTGCCTGCTCCAGTTCTCATAAATCCCCCTCAATTTAGTAAATTAGCTACTAGCGATCATTGATTTGCAGGTACAGAACCTGGAGCTGAAGAACTGCCCAGGATCTGTTATTTCTGGATTTGAAGAACTGTTATGGTGGCCACACACAGAGCAATTTATGCTCAATCTAGGTACGAGCAATCGCAAACAATTATTATACAAGAATTATAGCGTGGACAGTTTGTGCACTAGTTAGTGGTCCTGCGCGACAGGACGGTTATAATACAAGAGGATTAGGAGGGCCCTGATTGTGAGAGCTTACAATAATTCATCATTAAAATATCAAACACAGCATACATTCTATTGTTCCACGCTTGGTGATCCACTGAAAACACCCATTGAAAATACAATCAGTCATAAAATCTAAACGATTTAGGTTGCAATCGGTTCTCCGATCTGCACAGGATTGATCAGAAGCAAACAACAAAATTCCTCCAGAGCCAATCAACTTGGCAGCGTTAAAAATCAATCAAGCGCTCGCTAAATGGAGGGTGTTTTGTTTGTGATTTTGATTCGATGCAACTGAATTAAATGATCACATGAATGCTTGGATATATGGTCGGTTGTATACTTTAATAGATTTCTTTTTGAATTGGTTTTTAGTCGGATTCTGATCTTGAAAAATATAAAAAGGAGGATAAACGATCACATGATTGTTTGATCTGTTAGGGTTTGTTTCTTAGGATTTGATCTGTCAAGTCTCCCAACAACAGAGGGCCTACCTTGTTCTATAGAAAATCAATGGATTAGTCTGACAGATCAAATCGGAAGCAAAATCTGCTGGTCTATGGCAGAAGTCAGATGTATTAAAGCAACGGAAACGCCACTTTAAACTGAGTTTATTTTATATACATACACATTGTCAGCTACGTAACTAGGTTCTATATGATGATGAGAGTAGTAGTACTCACCTTAAAAGGCTGTCCGGGTGTCACATAGGCAGAGGGGATTCTTGTCACTTTACTGTGGGGACATGGTCAGTCCAGATGTAAGACACGGTTGGTGATTTACACACACATCAACAGGACACACGTCCGAACATCGCTGTCTTCATTGCACTAGCTAATACTAATATATAAAATAAACTATAGTAAAAAGTATCGATCCCTACGATCCCCGTTCTTCTTCCTTCGTCTTGTTTTTGTTTCTGGTCCTTCAACGCCCTGGGGCCTCAGACGTCATAGGGCGGAGGAATTTTTAATACTGTCAACACAAAGAACGAGATCCGCCAGTAAAATAGTTCCGGAGAGCCACCGATCGTATTACCGTGTCATTTCACTCCGTTAACAACCCCGCGTTGCAGCCGAGATCTAGTAAATAAAGCGCAATGTAAAAAATGAGAGAGAAAGAAAAGGTTTGTGGCGGTCAATAGGGAACTATTTGGCGGAAGGATATGTAATTTTAGCTGCTACGTCATTGACTTTTAAAATCCCTGCCCACGGCCCCTTGTCATTATCGGTTTGAAAAGACCGCCCGAATTCTGCTGGTGTGTGATTGTACGAAGGAGCCTAGCGCTGCGTGATTCGCTCGCTGGATTTCTGAGGGCGCACAGGGATTGGTGGAACGTGTGAAAGGACTGTCGATTTGTGGGTTAGCTAGTTCTTGTTGCTGGACAGATTTAATAATCAGAAATATGAGGAAGAGTGCCTAGCCGAGAGTACCTGGAGCATGCGCGGTAAGGGTGATTGGGTCGCCAGTGCGATTGGGACCTGTTTACACCAGGGAGTGTTGTTATAGCAACCGCTTGCAATGGAGGACTGCGATATGCTTCTTTACAGCTCTGTCGTTTGTGTTCTGCAATATAAATAAGTGTATTGCAATATATGTGTACAGTCAACTGTTTTGTGCAAGCCAGGGAAACCTTTTGTTCTCGTATTAGCCTAATTTTTCCGGGTATGAGTTAAGCGAGAGGCGTATTAAAATGCAGGCTGGTGTCTATAGGCTACAAAGACAATTGTCATTTCAGGCACTTTAATAAAAGGTGCATCAGTTGAAAATAGCTGTACTGTCTCCAGGTTACTAGGGAATACTCTGCCACATGCGAAAAAGCAATCTTTGTAGCTTGGTGCCATTCATTCTTAACCCTTTCGCTGCCAAGCCCTCCGGAACATTTTTCAAATCAGCTGGCCAAGCCATTTTTGAATTTTCTGCAATTTTTTTCCTATTGGTTTGATTTTCAACTGCTGCGTTGCTAGCGTTTGTAAAAGACCCCCCAAACCATATATTTTCAACCATTCACCCTCCCCACACACTACTTCCCAAATACCTTCTTCTTGCCTAGGTGAGAAAGACATCACATTCATCTGCAGGCTCCTGAGATACTTCTGTCACCCATCTCAGGAGGCCTCGCTATGCTTTTCGGTGGATGTGCTGCTGCGTGTCATCAGGGGCCAGCTGTCTCTTCTTGGTTCTTGCAGCTGACCCCCATGAAAATGTGCTGCAGCCCAATTCATTTCTAAGGGATGGCTGTGCTTTGCTGGAGTCTACCTAAACCTAGGCCTGAATGAACTTCTGAACATTAACAAGGCTCATCACAACCTATGTGCACCTAAAGGATAATCCATTTGAAGTCTATTCTATAGAATTAGGGGAACTGGAAGCCCTGTGTTTTAATGTACCCTTGAAGGAAAATTGAGGCTCTTGCCTAATGTAACCTTGAAAGGAAAGCCCTGGTCTAAAATGACCTTAAAAGGAAATAGAAACCCTGGTCTAATGTGCCCTTGAAGGGAAATGGAAGCACTGGTCCAATGTCTACTTGAAAGGAAATGGAAGCCCTGGTCTGCTATAGCCTTGAAGGGAAATGGAAGCCCTGATCTAATGTCTACTTCAAAGGAAATTAAAGCCCTGGTCATATATAGCCTCGAAGGGAAATGGAAGCATTGGTCCAATGTCTACTTGAAAGGAAATGGAAGCCCTGGTCTAATATAGCCTTGAAAGGAAATGGAAGCCCTGTTCTACTATAGTCTTGAAGGGAAATGGAAGCCCTGGTCTAATATAGTCTTGAAGGGAAATGGAAGCCCTGGTCTAATATAGTCTTGAAGGGAAATGGAAGCCCTGGTCTAATATAGTCTTGAAGGGAAATGGAAGCCCTGGTCTTATATAGTCTTGAAGGGAAATGGAAGCCCTGGTAAAATGTAGTCTTGAAGGGAAATGGAAGCCCTGGTCTAATATAGTCTTGAAGGGAAATGGAAGCCCTGGTCTAATATAGTCTTCAAGGGAAATGGAAGCCCTGGTCTTATATAGTCTTGAAGGGAAATGGAAGCCCTGGTAAAATGTAGTCTTGAAGGGAAATGGAAGCCCTGGTCTAATATAGTCTTGAAGGGAAATGGAAGCCCTGGTCTAATATAGTCTTGAAGGGAAATGGAAGCCCTGGTCTAATATAGTCTTGAAGGGAAATGGAAACCCTGGTCCAATGTCTACTTGGAAAAAAAATAGAAGCCCTGATCTAATGTAGTCTTAAAGGAAAATAGAAGCCCCAGGCTTTTCAACCGCCAATGCGATACGCAATAAAGTTATGTTCAAAAGCTTTAAAAATGTTGGGGTTTGTGGTTGGTAGTGTTAAAAATAATCCACCCCAGTTGTGGACTTGGAAAGCATTGTTTTCATACATTGCACTGATGACGGCCTATAAACCTGAAACAACCGTGTCCAGTAAAAAAAAAATGGCTCTAAAAATTAGGACGTATCTGTGCTATATACCAACAGTTCTGGATACACTGTTTAGTGGGGCATGAAGGAAACGTTTTCAGCCTTTGCTCACTTCTATAAACCTTCTTTATATAAATGATGTATGTAAATAAGAAAAATAAAATCTTTTTTTATGATAAGTTGTCTCAGTTTTCCAATCAGTTTCAATATGCAAAATGAATCTTCACAGATACCATTTGTTCATTTTAAAATACTGAAGATTTGGTCTGATTTGAACTCGCAAAGGACGTCACAAAGGACTTCTGATCATTGCAACACTTCCCCATAAAACCATTGCTTTCGTCTGCCACTTAGTATGTGACAATTTCCTTGCAATCATATTCTTAACATCAATAGCAGCAAACTAGCAAATTTATCAAAACTTGCAATCTCCGCTTTCACAGGAAAGTAACATTGAGGTAAGTCTTGTATCATACAAGCACCAAAGGCTGATAGTAATATGCCATGTAGATATGGTAGTTGTCACAGACGCCACATTTCTTTTGTGGTAAGCAGTGATGATGTCACATGGTAAAACCTAGATTCCCCTTAAATTCCAGTATCACAGATATGTATAAAAACTAGAAGAACTGTGTCCGTTTGTTAAACTGAATTAGTAATAAAATAGAGACTATTGGGAACAAAATGTATAGTAAAGCAAAAAACAATTAATTACATGATAAATTATTATCCCAGGGAGAGTTGAGACCCGGGGCATCCCAGATCGGAGTTTGAATATCCAGTCAACTTCATGACCCAGCAGTCTCCGATGTGTGTGTCTTCACCTCTAATTGGAGAAAAACCCATTTGTGCCATGGAATAAAAAAAAAATGGTCATGACTCCATTATATGTCAGAAAATGCTTTAAAACATTTGATTGATGGGCTGCTGAGAAATTTTGCCCCCAAAGTAATGCTCCCCTATCCTGATGCCTAATGGGTAAGTTGAATAGCCCACATACCCCCTATGGCACGTGGAGCAGGAAATTATACATATCACATTCCTTGTGTTTACAAATTACAATTTATAAATTGTTTTATGTGAAATATTACCCCTGTAAACAGTAGATCACACAAAGCCATACACATGGACTGGTTTTGCCCTTGACGGATTCATAAACATCTAATGACGACTTTTTTTCTTGATTGAGTAGCTTGGAGCAGGATACGGACTGTTGGAACAGCCAGCATCGACAGTTAAGAGTATGCGGGCAGGTGATCTGCTTCGCTGCACTGTATTTATTACAAGTATGAGATGGTTTGTTGGGAACACTATCCAAGAAGCTTGGAGACACCTGCACGCCTATAGTAGGGACACCTCTACTAGAGAACCTGCAGCTTGATTTCAGTACAGTATGTAACTACTTATCTGAGTACACAATAGGTAGATTTCGCTTTACAATGTTTACAAGTTGGGAACTGCAGGGAAGGACCCCCCCCATGCCCAAACTGTCAAGATCCAGTCCACTGTACAGTTTGGACATGCTCTTAGAAATTAAGCATTGATATAAGCTGTAGGGAAGGAGAAAATCATGGCCCCTAATGGAATCTTTGTATAGAGTAGGACAGGAGTAAGTAAGAGTAGAGGGATGTCATAGGGTGAATAAAAGATGGAGATAAAACAGAAAAAAAGGAGGGGGGGATGAGAAAGAAGACACTGGAGCCCCCCATCCAGCAAAAGTTTTTTATTATGTGATAATCACAACACTACCACTAGGCATATCTCCCTTTAAAGTAATATCCCCAAAATTTTAGGCAGATGCCAAGTATGAGTGAAATTATAAAGAGGTTGTCAATCTACCTGCCATACCACCCCCTGAATCAAGAAAATTGAGTTTCTATCTACAAAGATACAGAGCTCCTCCCACCATCCCATATAGAGATTAGTGAGGGAGGGTGAAAACCTAACTTCCATGGAAGCTTCACATGTCTGCAGATCGAATCCCCCATAAAAAATGAAGGCAAAGATAAAATTCCACAGCCATAATCAAAGTTGTCGGAATATGGGATATGACATCTCAGATGGTTGAGGGCTCAGGAGTATGCATTATACATCATAGTATAGAGAGGGCATGTAACAGACAGCATTGTGTACAGTCTAGGGATGTCCCGATGCCACTTTTTCAGGCCCAAGTACAAGTACATCCCCTCATGTACTTGCCGATACCAATTACCGATACTTTTTCTTAAAGGGACAGGTGACTTTAAATGATCCATAGTACAACTACATGTTATGTACTATGGATCATGGTTTAACCTATTCATGTTAGCAGTGGAGAATTGTAACTCTATTGCTGGAGTGTAGTGGAGGTGTGTGCTGTATAAATGCACTACATATACATTACACACGTCCAGTACACTATAGCAATAGATTTACAGCCAGCCCCGCCCCAGCTTCCCTTACTCACAGTTTCACTCCGATCCCCGTAGCCTCACGCGATGCC